ATATCTCTGTAAACCCACCCAGATGCCTTTTAAAAGTTGCAATCGCATCAGCCTCTTCCGCTTCCTCTGGCAGCTCATTCCATACACACACCACCCATGCGCGACAATCCGGGATGGATGATTTTTTTAAAAATCCCGTGAAAGGGGGGAGGAGGGGCAACATGTTTCTTTCTGCCAGATTAGCCGCTTGAATATTTCAGTTTGTGGGAATTGGGTGTTAATTGGTTATAGTACCGTGACTAGTCCTTAATTCTACAAATGTGTAAAGCACTATGCGGTGTTTCTGAGATAAAATGCGTTCTCTTTGAGCTGGAAATGAAACCTCCTCAGACATAATAAATCTGAAAACAAAAAATGCTGAAAAAAAAAGCAATAAATCTGCCGTCTCGGACTGCTGCTGCGAAATCCGTCACAAACATAATTAGGTTGTCTGTCTTCACAGTGATCAGTCAATTAATCTTGTATTAGTTACTCTCTCATTAACTTTACACCAAGTCGAATCCTCTTCTTAGACTGATGCACGTGAGTGAGAATTTATTAAGATATAAACCTAATACCGGGTTTCTTTAGCTCCTGGATGATTGGAAGTGGACAAAACCCCTCTAGAAACATAAAATAAAGAACTGCGGATACTGGAAATCTGAAACTAAAACAGAAGTTACTGGAGAAACTTGGCAGTTCTGACAACACCTGTGGATAGAAAACAGATTCAACGGCTCGGGTTCAGTGACCCTTCCTCAGAACTAAGGAACCATAAAAACATGTTACTGAAGAAGGTCCCGACACGAAACGTTGACTTTCCTGCTCCTCTGATGCTGTCTGGCCTGCTGTTTTCCTCCAACTCCACACTTTTGTCTCTGACTCCAGCATTGGCAGTTCTTACTTTCTCTTACTGGTGTTCAGGTGTTGAGGAAAAACGATCTCCTTTTCTGTTGACTGCAGCAGCGGTCTATATTTGAGCAGGGCCCTAAACATGATGAAGCGCCCCGGTGCACTAACTTCTCCGTCTTCGAGTCTCCTCCCGATACCTGAACCGTGGCCACTTTTCGGTCCTGCCTTAGAATGTGAGATTAAAGTTACCTGTCCCTCCCAATCTGAACCCAGATCCGTATGAAGTTACGGTGGTTGAGGGATTTTAATCCTGGCACATTACACTCACTTTGAAAGGGGTTTTCGAAATGTTGAAACTGACAATTACTGAGATCACCATCACCGCCACCCTCCAAAATAGACCCCATACATTATTCGGAAACAGCTTATATAGAGTCTCTATGGGGCTCCCTGCGTTCGATGATTCTAGGCTCTAACAATCGAGGGAGATGTGTGTGTTTGAACCCTGGTCTTTCATGTGTTGATCCAGGGACCAATTGGCTTATTTCATCCTATGATGCTGTTTGAAGTAGAGCGGGCAGTTCTGCCGATGCCCTGAAACGATGTTCCCTCAAGCAACATCACCAACAAAACTTAAATTAACACGTCACTCGGCCTCATTTGACATTTCGCGAGATTTGTGCATTTAGTTAGCTGCTCTAGTTCCGGCGGAACAACGACTATAGCTCTATAAAACCAAATTAACTGTGAAACGCAGAGATAGTAGGAACTGCAGATGCTGGAGAATCCGAGACAACAAGGTGCAGGGCTGGATGAACACAGCAGGCCAAGCAGCATCATAGGAGCAGAGAGGCTGACGTTTCGGGCCTAGACCCTTGAAACGCTGCGGGACATCTCAATGAAGAGACGATTCTTAAAAAGTCAAAGATCTTTCTTTCAAGGCGACTCGAGATATGTGATGCGCTATAGGTTGTTTTTGAAAGATGTAAGAAGACATAACATCAAATCTATTTCCACACAGCACTCGTAATTGTATCTTTGAAAATATTGCTTCAGTAACAGAAATCGAACCAAAGACTCGAACATCATTAAATTTTAATTGGCCCGGCAGGATAGGAATAAAGCAGTTCCGAGTTATTTAAAGCCGCTTGTCGTGATTCTGAGTCTGCAGGTCTATCTGTGACTTGTGGTAACTGAAAACTCCGTTGCAACAGAAAATCAGAGGTCTTAAAAAAAACACATGAACAAATCTAGTTCGCATCGCAATTCTGTTTTAAGCTCGGGATAGTCTTGAAAACCCGAGAGTGGCGAGAGTTCCGTACAGCCAGGGAGCAGCCCTATTCCGCGTTGACTAATTGATTTTGGTTTAAAATCGGATTCCCAACCGGCAGTGAATACGGACGTGAAGCTAAGAGCCGAGTTGTAACATCCAACTGTCTGCAAACGATTGTGTTTTAGTCTTGGCGTATATACTATGAATAAACACAATCTCCTCAACAGAGAGTGTTTTGTGACCCCTAAAGTGTAGTTTCATGAAAATTGTATCGCCAATTAACTACTGGTTAACAACAAAAACAAAGTTGCTGGAAAAACTCAGCAGGTTTGGCAGCATCTGTGAAGGAAAAAACAGGGTTAACGTTTCGGGCCCGGTGACCCTTCCTCAGACCTGCTGAGCTTTTCCAGCAACTTTGTTTTTATTCCGGATTTACAGCATCCGCAGTTCTTTCGGTTTTTAACTGCTGATTAACACTCGGACATTAACTCCTCCGTTAAAACATTGATAACTCAAAATAGCTTTACCACTGAGTACGAGTCATACTTGAGAACATGGAGCAGATTTCTGTTCCTGTTAACTTTCAAGTTATTTCTGATTTAGTATGTATGTATCTCAGCTGTACCCGCCAACCTTTCAAACTTGACTGCATGGCACCGAATTTCTTTTCGCTAAAATTTCGTCAATGCTGCCCCTTTCAAAAATCAGGCCTGGAAGAGGGAACTACACACGTGAGTTTCTGGGCCTGCTCATTCACATTCCCACTGGCGCATATTTGCTGTAAAAAAAAGTTTAAAAGAAAGCAGCTGAACCACCAAACAACTTCTCTGCAGAATTTAAACAGAGAGCTCAGCGTGGATCCTTCAGCCGTAGATTGAAGGGAATAGCCCCGTCCATCTGAATCTGCACTGGAGTATCTGCACTGAACATCTTCGGATACTTGTATTGGTGTCAACACCATCAGGATCCAGAGTACAGCAGGCTCGGAGAAGACAAATCACTGCAGAAACTCACTGATTGAGATCTCAGAGGTCTCTTTAGAGAAACTGAAGCCAATAGGCCCAGATCTTAGTTTTGCCCAGAGAGGTCTTGTGCTACGAGAGAGACCAGTCGGTAATTACAAAGATTAGAGCTTCAAAAAGAACTGGATGCCATCAGTGCCGGCCCTGCACACGCTCTCTTGTTTGTCATTGTTGCTCTTGGGCACCTGCATGCTCTTCTTCCTCGCAAAGAGATATTTGCACCCTGAATCCTTCACAGTAGTTGGATAAGGTATTCTAGCCCAGCACCACGCACTTGTTCCCTCCACAGCAGTTACTCATAAGCACAACTCTAAACCCCATCCTTTGAAGTCTCTCATGCCATTTGACGGCACTCCTAAACTTTCAGCTTTGCCTTCGTTCAATTTATCTTCTTCACTGAGAGATTGAAGAGCTCTCGACCCAGTAAAGGCAACGACATGAGCTGTCCCCAACATACCATTGCTCAACTCCTTTGAGGAGGAGGCGATGCAGCTGGTGGGCAGTCACTACTGATCCTTTGAGAAGTGAGAATTGGTAATGCCCTAGGTCGTGAAGGACCCTATATATATGAAACTTATTAAATATTGCTTTATATGGGGAAGCGTGGAGTACAAAACAAGACGTAGGGATGCATGTGCTTAAGCATTTAACGTTCCCGTTGTTTGCGGTATCCCATAATAGAAAGATGTGTGTTCCATCCATTCCGCCAAATAAGGATCACAAGAACTGTTCCGGGAATTGCACTAAGTTATGTTCTCAGTTCTTAAAACCATGGTTTGATACAATGGTCGTCAACAATGGCTTGATTCAGCCCTCTTCAAAATTAGGCGGATATGATTGGCAGGGAAAGAAGTTCCATTGAGCCCGGATTGGTGGTGCAGGGTGGGATTTTTGAACGTTATTCAGCAGTTAGCAGTCTTTATGAATCACTGCAGGAGTTTCTTGACGCCTGAGCTTCAGGGAAACCTGTCAATCTGAACGCCCTCGTGGACCACGTGTCTGAGTCAAGGAGCAGAGGTTTGTGGATAGCAAGATTTACGAAGCCTGAAATCCCTGTGACACGGAGTTCCATATTATCATCACAGTTCGAGGTGCCCACAACAGATCATAAACTCAAATCAACATCGTGGCCAATAACATGTGACAGTAATAGTGCTGGTTAAGCAGAGTTTATTTGCTGGTGCTGAATGGGAAATCCTCCACCAAACACAGCAACCCCTCTCCACACCCCATACCACCCCACCCCAGCCACACTCCAAACAAAGACTCCCACATTGCTCATGCTAAATGCCCAAACGTTATTTACACCGGTTTCAGTGTGATGCACAGTGAATAATGGATTGCCACGTCAGATAAAGTATTGAAATACACTCTGGTTTTCCTAAGGTTTTGCGGCCCTATGAGGGGATTGCATATTATACTTTTTATTCCAGTGTAGACATTAAGACCTGTAACCGGTTCCAACATCTTACAGTTCCCAATCTTTGAGAGGGATCTGAAACTACATTCTTGATCTCCTTACGCACCTCAGCTAAGAAGAAATATGACCTCCGGCTGCCTCTAATTGGATCATAGATGTTGTGATCGTTAGGGACGGTTTCGGATCACATGCGCATTTCCACGGCAGTAAAATTTTAATGTAACCTGCAGCAGTCAAAGACCTCATTCAATCAGCCTTGAATCAGCGTGTGAGGCTGGAAGCTGCCAAAAGAGTAACTACCTTTACCTTCACAGCTGAGCTTGCATTGCCTGGTCCCCGGACTGTTTGATACTAAGTCCAGCTGTAGTCTCAGTCCATACCCGCATTAATGGGCTCCTGACAACAGAATTCAAGTTTTGTTTTCTCTTTATGTAAAGATCAAATAAGCAGGATAATGAATCAGGGAATCTGGAAAGTTTACAAGAGCAAAGTGCTGAGGAGTTTCAGAGCTGATGAGGAGGAAGAAGTGAAAGAACAGGTATGTATGTCTGAATCTTCAAGATAACAGAAAATGCTGGGAGGGAAATATACAGTGCTACTTAACCTGCTGAGTATTTTCTGTTGATTCTGTAAGAACTTCCTGCATTTTATGTGTTAATACACTGAGTTTACATTTTTGCTTCAGGAGGATTGATATTTTGCTGAATTTCGATACATTGGACCAATGATTAAATGTTTGACAATAAATGATTAAAACAATGATTTTGAAAATGTATATAGATAAAAGTATTGTGCCATATATCTTGAACGTGTTACTGAAGCAGTTGAAATGCTGAAATTGTGCTGCAGGTCAATGGTGTCTAGCATGCCAACTAAAATCTCAACATTTCTTTCAGAATAATGACACCGTGATTGATATGACTACGGATGAAGGCTCCAGTTCTGTCTCACAGTTGGCAAAAAAGGTACAAACTATTCATTTCTCACCTACCATATGAGTTGCATTAATTTCACCAGATTGGGAGACTCTGGGAGTTGCTAATTGGGTGAACCATGGAGTCTCTGAAGAAATTACAACAGTACCTCCTGTGATGGTTTTGAGAAGCTCAGCATCTGCCCAGTCATCAGGCATCAGGGAATGTTAACCAGGAGCATAATCCCCTGTATTGGCTACTTGTTTTTCAATAGAGGATGATAGGAACTTACCCAATGTGCTCACAGGGTCAACAGACCACACATTACAACCCAGAACCAAACATATTTGGAAGGATATGTTAGAACAATTGCAGAATTGGGTAATTTCATTTCATAGAATTAAAGAATTCCTACAGTGCAGGGAGAGGCCATTCGATTCACCGACTCTGCACAAACTCTCCAAAGAGCATCCTACCCAGACCGCACCCTATCCCTATAACTCCATATTACCATGGCTGACCCACCTTTACCATGGCCAATTCATCTAGCCCGCAAATCTTTGGACTGTAGGAGGAAACTGGATCTCTCGGCAGAAACCCACAAAGACAGGGGGACAATGTGCAAACTCCACACAGTCACCAAATCGAACCTGGGTCCCTGGCACTGTGAGGCAGCAGTGCTAACCACTGAGCCACCATGCTGTCCTTGAGCAGGTCTGAATATGGTCGGAATCCTTCTGGATTACAAAGGAGGAACACCAAGCAGACTTACTCCTGATGGTTGACATGTCCAAGCTTCCTTGAGAAGGCAGAGCTGTGATTAATACTTTCCTTCCATGGGTGCACACAACCAAACTCTTACATAAGAAACTACCAGTAGCATAGGTCCTAGTGTTGCTCCATCCCCTGTACTCTCCAGTTCCAGTCAGCATCCCTGGGGTTGGGTTCAGAGTGGCAGGCAAAAGGGAATGCCAGAGAAAGAAAATGAGAAAAACAAAAGGTTAAAAGTGAGTTGTAGGTTGTCATTTAAAATAGCATGTCTGAAAGTACCATGTAAATCACCAAAAAATCTCCAAAGGCCATTAGTTTCAATTATTACCAAGAACTATTAAAAGCTACTTCCTAATTTAGCAATAACCAAGTTAATTATAGAACTATTGGGCAAGTTGTACAAGTGCATCTAAAGTGTGGGAACAGATTTGAGAGGTTCACAGTGTAGGCACAGGTGTGAGTAGACTTGCTGTGGGCACCTCTGTGAGGGTCTGTCAGCACAGGAGCAGGTAGTCTGAACTCATGGTGTGAGTACAGGTATAAGGAGCCATCAGAGAATAACAGGTTTGAGATACTCTTCGTGTGGGCACAGATGTGAGGGATCTTGGTGTAGTCAAAGATGTGAGAGACCAATTATTAGGTGGACAGGTGTGAAGGTCATAGGACGGCCGTGTGTGAGGAGTGATTGGCCTTTACATTGACCAACTAATCATTGTCTCTTTAAAGGTGCAGTAACTGATCGCTGTCACATGATATGTACGAGTTACAGTAGAAGAAAGGAGATAGGTGCTGCATAATTTATTGGCTATAATCTCCTTCCAAAGTCCATTATATTTCACTGAAATATTTAACAACAATCGGTTTCAGTTTTAGAGTGTGGTTGAGGGGCTCAGAGTCCTGTTTCAATATAACAAAAGCAGAATATTATCACAAGTTACATCCCTTTTCGAACCTAGAGATATTCAATCATATTTTGGCAGTTTTCCTCCCCCAAGAGACTCACTTTTTTTATGAAAGAAATTTCAAATATAAATTCAAATCAGCCTCTATCTGTTTCCACAACTATGTTTACTTTGAGGATGAAAATTGGTCATTGGTGATGCTGCTATTCAACTTTGGGAAGAAACACAGATCCATTTGATACTTTTTTCATTTTCTACACTGTCCCATCATTATTATTATCATAACTACCTTGAGGAACCCCTGCAGTGATGCCTTAGTACTGAAAAGATTGACCACCAATAACCATAAACATCTTCTTTTGTGCTATATATGACTCCAACTGGTGAGACATATTCCCATTAATTCCCATTGCGGCGATGAGAGATGGGAAGTCAAACTAGGGCACAAATTATATACTGGTTGACCATGACCATACCGTACCCACCCATCTCATCTTTCCTGGTTTGTCTGCAGCTTTTGATTCAGTTGACCATTCTCTTCCAAAGTTTGTCCTCTGTTGTTTAGCTGGCTGGGATGTTACTGCCTGATTTCAGTCCTATCTCACCAGAGAATCAACTTGGAATGACGTCTCTTCCCATTGCCACAGAGTTACTTCTGATATTCCCCAAGGATCCAACCTTGGTTACCTCCTATTTCTCATCAGCAACAGAAATTGCTGAAGAAACTCAGCAGGTCAGGCAGCATCTGTGGAGAGAAAGCAGAGTATTCTGAAGAAGGATCACTGAACTCAATGTTAACTCTGCTGTCTCTCCACAGATGCTGCCAGATCTGCCGAGTTTCTACAGAAATTTCTGTTTTTGTTTCAGATTTCCAGCATCCGCAGTTCTTTGTTATTTCCTACTCTTCATCTGTGTGCTGTCCCTATGTGGGCAATGTCATGTGAAATCACATTGAATTCCATATGTAGCCTCTGACAACACCTAGCTCTACCTTGCTGCCACTTCTATCAATGGCTCCACTGTCTCTCTGTTTTTATGCAAATTGTCTATTTCCAGTTCTAGATAAAGCAAATAAATGTTATGAACTCTTGTGCCATTAGTTATGTCCCCTGCCACAAATTATTAACCAGCCACAATTCCATTGTTCTCCATTTTGAGCTGAATTAGGCTGTTTATAAAGTCACCATCCTATTTTATATTGAACTGAGCTTCCAGCTTCTATCCTTTCAATTGCTAAGATCACCCACTGGAACTTCTGTAATGTCAGCTATCTCTTGTCCTGTCTTGAGCCGATGGAGGGGAGTGGGGTACTGGAGAGTTGCAAACAGGTCAGCCAAAAGCCTGTTTCCACTACCAGGCAGAATGTTAGATAGGCAACAGCAGAGTCAATGATATTTATCCATTTGCAGGTACAAGGGGCTAGTGCAAAAGGATGGAAATGCATGTCCTCACTTTTCAACAAGGATGATGAACACAAGTTACTTCCAACTGAGAACACTGCCCCAGTCGAACAGTGAGTATATTCCTTCTTTACACCATCACAGATCTCAAGCTAATTCAGTGTACCCCAGACAAGAATAAAATGGAATACCTAGTGTCAGACAGCAGAAAAAGTCATTTAACGCATTGACAATCCATACATCCAGTACCCTAATAACCCTAGCTTTGTACATTCACCATATATATTCACAATATCCCCTCATTTTCCTACTGATAATTCAAAATTACGCTCACTCCCCCAGTGATACTCATAATCATATATCCTAGCACCTCCCCCCCGTGAGGTTCTTCCCATAGTGTCAAATCCCTTTCTTACAATCGCTCAGAGCAACAGAGACCCTTCTAGTTTTCCAAGAGGAAGTCTGTTAATGCGTATGTTGCACAGATCCAGCACCATATCAGAATACTTGTCAAAATTCTGACTAAAATTAGCCATATTTTACTAGTCATTTGTATTCCATAGTACTTAGACATTATCAGATTATGTTACTCTTTCAAAGAATTGGTACAAGCACAATGGGCTGAATGCTTATTTTTTATGCTGTAACATTCTACAATTCTATGATTGTGGGCAATGTGTGGAAGCTCAGCTTATATCCAACAGTCATACTACCAGGGCAGGAGAGCAGCTTTAAAGGTTAGTCACTCAGCACCCAATTTCACAAATGTTCTCATGGCTGTTCAAAGTAGTACAGGCAGCGACAAGGGATTATGTCCTTCATTTAATTGCACACCAGCTTGACTGGGCAACGATAGAAAGAGCTTTAAAATGATTGCATAACCTAAGTACTGTAATGATTCAAGGCATGTTGTCTGGTCTCAATCATTTCACGGTGAGATGAATGACAAGTTTTGGCAGGAATTGCTCATAAAGATGACACTGGGCATCTTGTCCTAGAGCTGTCTAGGATAGACAGTATAGCTGTCGTTTCAACCATTGGTGCCACTGTAAGACTGTCCAATTAATCCCACCCCCTTTTTCTCCATAGTCATGAATGTTTTCTCCTCTTAAACTATTTATCCAATTCTTGTTTGAAAGTTACCACTGAATCTATTACTACAACCCTTTCCAGATAACAACAATGAGCCACAGTAAAAAAAAATTTGTCCTGAGCTGTTTTGATTGTTATTTTAAATTTGGTTTATCTGGTTATCCTGGCAATGGAAAGTTTCACCCTACATCGTCTATAAAGTCTTTCATAATTTATATAGCTGTTCCAGCACAGCTACAACATTGGCATCTACCCAACAATCTGGAAAATTACTCTCATGTTCTATACACAAAAAGCAGAACAAATCCAACCAGACTAGTTACAGCCCAGTCACTCTATTTTCAATCATTAGTAAAGTGACGGAAGGTGCCATCAACAGTGTTATCAATCAGCATTTGCTTAGCAATAACCTGCTTACTGACAATTAGATTAGGTTCCACAGGGCCTCATGACAGTCTTGGATCAAACATTGACAAAAGAGCTGAATTCCAGAGATGAAGTGAGTGACTGGCCTTGACATCAGGGCCACATTTGGCCAAATGTGGCATCAAGGAACCCTAGCAAAACTGGTGTCAATGGAAGTCAGGGGAGAAACTCTCCACTGGTTGGAGTTATACCTGGCACAAAGGAGGATGATGTGGAGGTGCCGGTGTTGGACTGGGGTGGACAAGGTCAGAAATCACACAACACCAGGTTATAGTCCAACAGGTTTATTTGAAAACACAAGCATGGTTGTGGTTGTTGGAGGTCAGTTACCTCAGCTGCAAGACATCCTTGCAGGCGTTCCTAGGCCTGACCATCTTCGGTTGCTTCATTAGTAACCTTTGCTCCATCATAATGTCAGAAGTAGGGATGTTCACAAAAGATTGTGTAATGTTCAACACCATTCACAACTCTTTAGATAATGAAGTAGTCCCATGCCCAAATACGGTAAGATCTGGACGACATCCAGATTTTGGCTGACAATGGCAAGCAACATTAGCCACACAGAAGTGCCAATGACCATCTCCAACAAGAGAAAATCTAACCATCACCCCTTGTCATTCAATTACATTACCAAAACTGAGTCTGCCACTATCAACATCCTCGGGAGTACGACTGACCAGAAACTAAACTGGACTAGCCATATAAGTACTGTGGCTGCAAGGGCAGGGCAGAGGCAGGGAATCCTGCAGCAAGCATCTCACCTGCTGACTATCCAAAGCCTGCCTACCATCTACAAGGCACAATCAGGAATGTAACAGAACAGTCCTCACTTGCCTGGATGAGTGCAGCTCCAACAACATTCAAGAAGCTTGACACCATCCAGACAAAGCTGCCCACTTGATTGCCACCACATCCACAAACTTTTACTCCCTCAACAGCAATGATCAAGACTACTATCACCTAGAAGCACAAGGGACACAATTGCCTGCAAATTTCGCCAAAATACACACAAATCTGACTTGGAAGTATATAGTTGTTCCTTCAGTGTCTCTGAGTCAAAATCCTGGAATTCCCTTCCTAAATGCATTGTGGGTCTACCTGCAGCATGTAGACCACAGTGGTTCATGAAGGCAATTAGGCATTAGCAATAAATGCTGGCCCAACCAGTGATGATACACCCTACGAACAGGTTTTAAGAAAGGAGGCAAGGGCTTGTGAATGCACCATAATCCTTTTCATTTTCAGTTGCTATCAATATTTTAGATTTCCCAGTGACCTATCCCTGACAAATTAAGCAAACACGAAATAACAGTTTCAAACAAGGTTTAAATTTTTCCTTTATTCATTCACGGAATGAGGGCATTGCTGACTGGGCAGCATTTATTGCCCATCCCTAATTGCCCAGAGGGCAGTTCAGAGTCAACCACATTGCTATGCTTCTGGAGTCACATGTAGGCCAGACCAGGTAAAGATGGCAGTTTCCTTCCCTAAAGGGCATTAGTGAACCAGATGGATTTTTCTGACAATCGACAATGGAGTCATGGTCTTCATTAGATTCTTAATTCCAGATATTTTATTGAGTTCAAATTCCACCATCTGCTGTGGTGGGATTCGAACCTGATGTCCCCAGAACGTTATCTGGGTCTCTGGATTAACAGTCCAGCGATAACACCACTAGGACGTTGTCTCCCCATTAAATTATATCTCAGCCAGATGAGTACCTGTTCTACACTGCTGATCAGAATTAGTGTGAGAACCCTTTCTCCTCAGACAATGACAATTCGCACTGCACTTAAATTGGAGAACTTTTTACTAGACGAAGAAACGGCTTTGGTAACTCTAATCCTAGTCCAGTTCTGACAGCTAATTTCAGTTGTAGCAGGACTGAAACAAAAAAAATGCTGGAGATCATCTGCAGTAATTTGCTCCTCCTCAGTTGTAGCAGGAACTACTCTTGACTATCGTCCAGCGCTTCCAGCTGGAATGGGCTGCGGTGAATGACTAGCTGAGGACAGGAATGTCTCACTTGCGATGCCCTCAACGTGGAATGCCCACTCAACACTGGTCTAAGGTTCTCATGCAAAATTGGCCTGAGATAGGACGGACTGAGTCAAATTGATCCAGATGCTCAGGGCTCGGCTTGGCCAGTTGGTCAAGAGGGTGGAACTAAGAATGGTCACGTGTTAATTGACTGTCATTCCAAACACACACACGTTTCTAATGATTAATTTCTTGTCAAAACTCATTTAAAAATACATAATTTAAACGATGAGCTAAAGATTTTCCGAAAATAACCATTCGTGCGCAAGAGTTTGATGGAAATTCGATTTTAATGAAATTTTAAAATGTTGTTAATTTTTGAAATGTCTGTATGAAACCCAACATAATACATCGAGCAGTATTGCCCTTCAGGCTAGAGAATAGCACCTCCTCGCGTTCCTCTGATGCAACTTCCTCGGATTGCCAATCTCCAAAATGTTTTCAAACACGTATTGAAATGAAATTAGCATGACCTTCTTTGAATCAAATGTTCCAAGAAACAAACGTTTGTTTTATGGATATTGTGCTGAAGCATGAATTCAGTCCATTAGCATTTCACCAAGGTAGGCTCCAAGCCGGTTAACTATTCTGTGCTTTCCTCTCTCTTCTCCAGTGTCCTTTCAGAGCCGGCGCCGAAAGAGCCCGAGAAGAAACTGACCGGGTTCTGGGACGCGTTCGCCACCAAATGGAACCAAACCTCCGAGGCCAACAAGGTCAGCGACGGCGCCGGAGAAGGTGAGGCCGAGGCGGCTGCAATCCCCGCACACGATGAAGATGGAGGGACCGAGAACACAGCCAGTCCCGGGGCCTACACCAACCTGGAGGCGACCAGCGACCCCGGCTTCAAGTGGAACTTTGTAACCAGCAAGTTGGCGGAACTGAAAAATAGAAACATGCAAAAAAGCAACTAGGCACACACCCACAAGAGGGAGGGGGACGGCCAGGGGAAGGCTCCTGAAAACAGACAGCAACAGAGGGAAGTATCATAAGAACATCACGAACGTGACAAAATCCCATTAGATAGCGACGTCGGTGTAAAATAACAGGGAGTTATAGAAATAAAACCCGGGCGCTGCTGTTTGAAATAACGATGGACTAAAGCTGAAGTCGTTTGTTATGTTGCATTCTACATTATTTACATTGCTTCATATCTCAAGAACAAACAAAAAAAATTGAAGGGTAATCCCAAAGTCTCTGGGTTGATATCACAATCTGCTCCTTTCAAAATTGTGTTGAATACATTTACTGGGATAAATTTTAGATACACGAGGCGGGTTGATTGTATGCCCGTCCTATACCCCTTCTGCCAACCTGCCCAAACCCACAAAATCCGTTTCAAAACTTGCCAGGTAATGTTTGCAAAGTAGAACCTTGCAGGTTCTGCTCACTGCTTTCTGAGCGCCGTATCATGGGGCGCAGTAGTCCCAGTCTAATTTCGTTTTCAATCTTTCGCCTGTGAAAGTTTCAAATCAAAAGTCGTGTTGGGATTCCGGCAAGCAATGGGCGGGACCTCTGAAAGGAAATTCTCCGCCTGTGTACAGCCTGGTTTTGTATATAGGCAGGAATCATACCGCAAGTGTTTATTCCAACGATCTAATGCCTAGGTGTTAGGGATGGCGGGGGGCAACAACGACAACCACTTTTTTCGTTCATGGGATGGACCAGCATTTAATGCCCATCTTCAAATACCTTGGAGAAAGAAGTGGTGAGCTGCCGTCTTGAACAGTTGCAGCTCTTGGGGTGTGGGGTAACATACGATGCTACTAGGAAGGGAGCTTTAGGATTTTGACCAAGTGACATTGAGGAAATGGCGATATAATACTACGTCAGGGTGGTGTGTGGTCTGGAGGAGAATTTGCAGGTGATGGTGTTTCATCAGCTGGCCTTGTTACTTCTAGGTGGTAGAGACAGTGTGTTTTGAAGATGCTGTTTTGGACTGAATCTTGTAGCTGGTATTCTCTGCTGTCATTGAGCTTCAGTGGTGAATGGATTGAACCTTGAAAGTAGAGGATGTGGTGCCAATCAAGGGAATGGTTTGTTTTGGATGGTGCCAAGCTTTGAATGTACTCATTGAGGCTAGTGGAAACTAGTCAAACTCTTGACATGTACCTTATAGATGACGGACAGGCATTGGAAGACTGGTGAGTTACTTGCTGCAGAATTCCTGGCCCCTGCACTATTCTTGTAGCCATAGTATTTATATGTCTGGTCCAGTTCAGTTTCTGGTCAGTGGTAACCCTCAAAATATTGGTAGCACCTTTAACATAGTAAAACATCTCAATGGACTTCACAGGAGAAATTATCAAACAAAATTTTGCACAGAACCTTGGAAGGAAAATGTAGAACATGTGAGATAGGTTTTAAACAGCAACTTCGAGAGAGAGCAGAGCGATTTAGGGAAGTAATTTTTGAGTTGATGCATCAGCAGAGGAAGGCACTGCTGCCAATGGTGTGATGATTAAAATTGAGGATGGATGAGAAGCCAGAATTGGAGGGGTACCAAGGTCAGGAAGACTTGTTGGGATGGAAGAAGTTACAGAATTGGATATGGCTAGGGTGGCCTCCAGATGGGTAGGCAATGCTACAGCAACCAGTTAGAGTTATGTAATTAATCATGGAGCAAATATTGCTCAAATACCTGCCTTCACAATCAATATCAGGGTTTTGCTCAGAACTATTTAATTATAAGTCTGATTGATGGATGATATATTCACTAATTTCAATTAAGTCTAGAGTCCACTTGATTCTAATGCCATACATTAGCAACAACAGGAATTTAAGTCCCTAGAGTTCTCTTATTAAACAATTACATAGAATTCTATAATTATATTGAACAGATCAGTCCCAGGGATCACTACAATGACTGAGAGAGCAAGATGTGACAGATATTCTCTCTCTGACAGATATTAACAGTCAGGATTTGAGGACAAAGCCCCTCATTACAGGGACATCTCATGGGTGGCACAGTGGCTCCGTGGATAGCACTGCAGCCTCACAGCACCAGGGACCTGGGTTCGATTCCAGCCTCAGACTACTGTCTGTGTGGAGTTTGCACATTCTCACCATGTCTGTGTGGGTTTCCTCTGCATGCTCTGGTTTCCTCCCACAGTCCAAAGATGTGCAGATTAGGTGGATTGGCTATGTTAAATTGCCCTTAGTGTCTAGGGGTGTGTAAATTAGATGGATTAGACATGGGAAATGCAGGGTTACTGGGAATGGATCTGGGTGGGATGCTCTTTGGAGGGGCGGTGTGGACTTGTTGGGCCAAATGGCCTGTTTCCACAGTGTAGGGATTCTATGACTTAACAGTCTAATTGTGTCTACTTTCAGTGTCCCTGCACCAACTACCATTTATGGCTGTGAGAGCAGGTAATAGCATCCTGCACTTTGTTGAGTCCAACCAAGACTGGAGACTGACACATGGGAGTCCTCAAGAGGTACTCTTTCAGACACTGTCCAACTTGGAGAAGTTCCCTGCTTCCTGCAGTAGCCAATTCTCCCTGAATCTTGAACTCAGTCCCTTCTTATGCTTTTTAACAAATAAAACCTATTAACTAAATTAAGCTAGATAGCTCCTTAGAAGAGTACTGTAACTCAAGATAAAAACCCAAAAGGAAACTTACAGAATCAAATTAAAAATTGATTTAGTTGCATGATAATAGACTCCAGGCCCTGTAGTGCCCACCGGCCATGGTATTCCCTTCTCTCATACTGTTCACCATCAACACTGATGTTCAGTGCTCCAAACAAATAGGGAACATTTGTCAGCTTCTGAGGCAGAAAACATGGGAATGTCCTGATCTGAGCTAGGATTTGGATCCTCGATCATGGACTTAAGTGTTATCCCGAGTACACCTGCTGCATTGTTTTCAGTTTTTCCTTTTATACATTTGTCGTACAGGAATGCAGAGCCAGATGTTTGTGTTGGGTTTATTGCTTCCTATAATATGCATGATTCCATTGCTTTGTCAGTGTTGTCACTTGCTGTGTATTGAAAGTAAATTTACATAAATTATTTGTCATGTGGCTCTGATTGCTTCCCTGTGCTCATTCAAGTCTCTACCCACTATTGACTGTGTTTAGTGTTCCAATGCTATAAAGCACCATAACTTTATGCTGCTCAGCATTCTGTTCAATGAGGTGCATGTTTTTGACCAGGCACTCAAGTGTAGTGAAATACACAGCCACACAAACCTACTGAACTGGAGCTGATGAACAAGACACAGGAGAATGATCGGAAAATGGCATGGTCTCTCCCTTTCATGCTTTTCAATCTTTCACAGGAAACCTGTTCAGCTTCCTCTTGAATTTTCTGATGCTTTCATTCCCTTTGAGGTCTCACTCACTTGGGGAAGAATTCAAACCGAATGATACCAGAACAGAGAGGTTTAACCATCAGAAAAGAGTGAATGGTCTTTTTATCACTAGGAAAGGTGTTGAAGAATGAACTGACAAGATTTTTTTTACAATTGTGAAGGAGTTTCACAGTAAACAAGGGAAGATGTCTCCTCTTGTGGGGAAGACTGAAATAAGGGGCCATAAATATATTCATTAATAACAAAGAATTTTGGAGAAATACCTTTAGTCATAGAGTTTCACTTTACTTTATCTTTCACTTTAAAACTATGGATCGAAATCAAGGAATAGTTCCCAAAATGTGACACATTCAGAGTGTACAGTTGAATGATCACAGACCAACAATTCCAATGACAATAATTGGACAGGGTCTAAATGAACCTAATTTTAAACACAAACATTTTCACAAAACAACACTTTGCTAAAAAGTTTGGCAATAAGATACAGCAGGGACAACATAATCCAGGCACACACACGGTTGTCAACTGATGCCAGCCAGCAATAAAATGAAAGTTGAATTGCCTGGGAACTTACAAGCAGGACATGTATATGCAGGAGCCCAGTACCCCACCTCAATCCTAACAGACTGACTGGAGTCGGTCCGGGCCATTGCATACATTCTAGACTGAGTCGAACAAATTTTGATCCAGTGAGAATCAAAAAAGTGAAGTTCAGCATTGCTCTTATCACTTGATAGCCCTACCCCTTTCTGATGCTATGATCCACCCGCTGCTCTGGTATAAACAAACACGCTACAATAAATATACTTTATGGCAGTATCATATAGCCAAAATAATGTAAGTTTCAACCCAGTGTCTTTGCTGAACTTCCAAAATTTGTTCTGCTCTTGTTGCCAGTTGTTTGTTTTAGAGTCATGGAGTCATAGAGATGTACAGCATGGAAACAGACCCTTCAGTCCAACTCGTCCATGCCGACCAGATATTGTGGATAAATCTAGTTCCATTTGCCAGCATTTGGCCCACATCCCTCTAAACCCTTCCTATTCATTTACCCATCCAGATGCCTTTTAAATATAATAATTGTACCAGCCTCCACCACTTTGTCTTGCAGCTCATTCCATACACACACCACCCTCTGCATGAAAATGTTACCCTTCTGTCCCTTTTAAATCTTTCCCCTCTCAACTTAAATTAATGCCTTCTAGTTTTAGACTTCCCCACCCCAGGGAAAAGACCTTGTCTATTTACCCTATCCATGCCCCTCAAGATTTTATAAACCTCTATAAAGTCACCTTTCAACCTCCTGCACTCAATGGAAAATAGTCCCAGCCAATTCAGCCTCTCCCTATAGCTCAAACCCTCTAAACCTGGCAACATCCTTGTAAATCTTTTCTGAACCCTTTCAAATTTAACAACATCCTTCCTAAAGCAGGGAGACCAGAATTGCACACTGTACTCCAAAAATGGCCTAACCAATGTCCTGTACAGCTGCAATATGACCTCCCAACTTCAATACTCAATGCATTAACCAATAAAGGCAAGCAGACCAAACATCCTCTTCACTATTCTACCTACCTGCAACTCCATTTTCAAGAAACTATGAACCTGCACTTCAAGGTCTCTTTGTTCAGCAACGGTTCCCAGGACCTTACCATTAAGTGTTTAAGTCCTGCCCTGATTTGCCTTTTGAAAATGCAGCACCTCACATTTATCTAAATTAAACTCCATCTGCCACTCCTCGGCCCATTGGCCCATCTGATCAAGATCCCGTT